CCCCCCCCCCCAGGAGCCGCCCCTGGGTGAAAGGAGCCTGCTGGCTGCCGGAGCACGGCCTGCCCTGGGAATGCTCTGGCCCTGTTCCCAGAATCCTGTGCTGGGTGTTTGTTTGCTGCTGCGCCCCTGAGGTCTGGTGCTACTGTGACAGGAAGCGGGAACGCCGGGGGGAGGGAGGCCAGCCGGCTGGGGATGTGCCTGTGAAATCCCTTTGTCCCCGCCAAGCGCTCAGCTGCAAATTCCCACAGAGAAGAGAGAGCCGCCTTTGTGCTGCTGAAGGGCTCCCAACATGTGAATCTCCTGGGCCTGGGGGCGCAAACCGTGGGGATGGTGCCCGCTTGGTGCAGAGGGGTGGCAGGGACCCCTGCCTTGCTGCTGTCCCCGGGGGACGACGACGACCCATGCAGTGGTACCCAGCAGGAGTGGGGCTGTTGGGGCATCCTAGGGCGGCTGGATGTGGCGGGATGTTGCTGGGAGGAAGGCTCTGGCCCCATGGTCCTCCCCCTTGGGGATTGTGGGTGGATGGTGTCTGCCTGGAGCCTGGCGGCTTGGCTGCCTTCCTGCTGGGAGGGATGCTTGTCCTCTCCTCCCCGAAAGTGCTGAGGGAAGCTTGGTCTCCCGTCCACTTGCCGTGGTGCCAACTGCTCCCTCCAGCCGGTGGAGCAGCCAGCACTTCCCCAGCCGGTGCAGAGGGTCGGCAGCTCTCCTGGCCTGCCTGGAGGTCTCACTCCAGCCCAGCCAGCAGGGAAGGAGCTCCTCCCCTGCCATCTCGCAGCCATGCTCAGAGGGACGAGTGGCCCCCCTTGCGTGCCTGGGAGGACAGCTGCCCCGCAGCCAGATTGCTGGCATACCAGCAGAACAAGCCTTGCTCTCTGTGGCTGACCCCATGCTGCTCCTTTTTCCCGCTGGCCCTGCTCAGCTGCCTCTCCCTCTTCATCCCGCTGGGGCAGCGAACGGTACCGATCTGGTGACCTCAGCCGGGCCAGGGACAGACCCCTTCCCCAGGGGATTGCCCACTATGTTTTGCAACCCCCAGCTGTGTCCAGACCCATCCTTCGGACCTGATCAGTATCATGCATTCTTGGGCCCCCTGCCCTTGCTGGGGGGGGGGGATGACACACAGCCTGCTTCCCCCCCTTCCTGCCAGCAGCGTAGCCCCACCCTGCCCCTTATCTCTCCCTCCTTATCGTCCTCCGCTGGCTGCTGGCCCGCTCCCTTATAAGGTGCGGTGCCGCGCGTCCCTGCTTGCATCTCCACAGGTAACTCCCCTCTTCGGAGGGAGGCTTTCCCAACCTTCATCCCTGGCACTGGGGGCGGCAGGCGAGGTAGATCAGGTGGCGATCCCGCTGCCGGTCCAACCAGTTGGGCACGACGGGCGGAGGTGAGCGGCTCCCTTCCTGCTGCCACCCGAGGCGGCTGCTCCTGGCGGTTTACCCACCCGGCTCTTGCCGGGGCGCCTTGGGCATGGCTCCCCTTGAGAAAGGTGGGGCTGGGCTGGGGCAGGTAGGCGCCCAAGGCGGTGTCTGACCTGCCTGTGGGAGCAGCCCTTTCCCGCCCAGGGAGGGCTGGCTGGCCGCCCGCCAGCCTGTCCAAAGTCCGTTGTGCCTGTGCTCTGTAACCTGCCCCCGGGGAGAGCCCTTCCCAGCGGGGCCAGGGGCTGAGAAGGCAGCTGAAGCCCTTGGCAGGAGATGGGAGAGCCTCTCCCCTACAGTGGGGTCTGGCAGGCCTTGGGCAGAGCAGACTGGGGAGTGTGAGCAAGGTGGCTTGCACAACCTGGAAGTGAGGACACATCTGCCCAGGCAGGCGGGTCCCTCCCTGGTGTGCCGGTCTGCGGTGGGAGCTGGCAGCGTGGGGTGTGGGCATGTTCCTGCCTCTGGGGTGGCGGGAGAGAAACAGCCGTGGCCAAAACTTCCCATTGCCCACGCAGGGATGTGGGAGCTACTGCCCACCATCAACTGTCCTGCTTCCCCTGTGGCCTGAGGGCTGTTGTGCTCTCCTGAACTGAACGCAGAAGCAGACGAGGTGGGGATGAGCTTGAGCCCGTGGGCTCTCTGCCCGATACACTGCCAGCATGCTGCGCCTTGGCTAACATTAGTGCTTGCCACCTCGGGCAGGCTGAGGTCTAAGAACTGATGTGTGAGCCTGGACCCTGCGCTCAGGAGGGTGGAAAGGTGCCAAAGATGTTGGCTCATTTATTTTTTAGCTAATTGAGACTGACCAGAAGCCTGTGGTGAATTAGCAGGGCTGTGAACCTGTGCAGAGCAAGCAAGTGTAATGCACTGTGAGTGCTTGGACAATTGCAGGCTTGAATTATTGATGGGGTTTCTGTTTTTCCTAAGTGCATCACGATAGGCAACTGGAACCAGGAGAATTTGTTGCTTCCTCTCTCTCTCGAGGATGGGGGGGTCTGGTGCTGGGAGCTGTTGATGTTCGCTTTTGAAGGGCGGGCAGCCAGCTGGCTTTCCTCAGAGTCTCTCAAATTGATAGGGCAAGGTGAATTATTTGAGCGATGTTGCCATTATTCTTGTCTAGTCAGTGCTGGGAACTGTGTTGGAGCAGGAGCAAGTTCCTTGGGCAGTGCATCCCTTCTTGTCAGCCTGGCGGGTGGGTCTGGCCTGGGAGTCTGGAGCTCCTTGTGTCCCCGCAGGGGCTCAGCCAGCCCGGGTGAGGGGCTGGGTCCCTCCTGGTTCTGACCATGGCTGGTGGTGACAAGTTGGAGGAGAAGGGCTATTTTGCTCATGCCTCACAGCAGCAGGGGGGGCTGTGAGGGGTGTCTGGCTGTGGTGACAAACCTTGCCACTTGCTTAACAGGTGCCCGGGGGACACAAACAAGCAGTAAATCTGCAGGGAGGGCTGGGACTTGGCAGTCAGAGCCAATGTGACGCTGTCCCCCCCTCTCCCTGGTGGCAGAGGACTGCTGGGAGTGAACACCTGGTGTGACTCTTAGCAGGGAGCTGGGGCAGGGCTGATGCGGCAGAGGTGGTTTCTGGCTTTGTAGGTGCTTGCGTTGAACTTTGCCCAAAATCCTCCATGCTGAGGGAGTGGCCTTAGCTCCAGGGATCCCAGGACCATTGGGATCTCCCTGAGTCTCTCTGGGGACTCAGGGCGCGGAGCAGGGCTGGAGCAGGTCCTTGGAAAGACCCAAGCAGAGGGCTGTGTGCTGGAGATCCCCTGTGCTGCAGTGGGTGCTGCCTGTCAAGCCTCCTGCCTGTGTCTTATCTGCTGGATCTTGTCTGTCTCCCTGGCCTGTGGTGTACAGTTCCCCATCTGCCGGCTTGGTCTGGGCCCTGGGGTTAATCTTTCCGTGGCTGACAGGGAAGTGCTCCTGGTGGGGAGCCTTCAAGGCTTGAACTCCATCCTCCAGCAGAGGAGGGTGCAGGTGAACTCTAGGTGGGTATGGCTGTGGTTTGGCCCTGGCAATTATTTTTCCAGGCAAAGGGTTTGTTCTGGGGGAAGGCAATCCCTCAGAGAAGCAGGGGCAAGGGGTTTTGGAAAAATGTGCCATGTCAAAGCTGCCCCCAGTGGAAGAGCTCTGGAAGGCTTGGTCAGGGTTTAGGGTGTCTTTCTGGCTGCTACCAAGCCTTTAGTCCAACCAGGAAGATTACGGTGGGTACCTGTGGAGGGAAGTTCTGTGCATGCAAATAGGCTCATGGCTGCCTCCCTGCCAGTAAGGGGGCTCTTCTCTGAAGGCCCTGCACGTTGGACATCCCTCTGGTGGACCTGCTCTGGCTTCAGGACCTCTGGGCGCAGCACAGGATTGTGCTGGTGACAGGAAGTTGGGAGATGCGATAGGGCCAGAGGGATTTGGATTTAAAGCTTTCTGGGTAGCTGCATTGGTCCCTGTGGGTCCCCTCTTGCTGATAGCCATGGGGGAAGTGCCCCGGGGCAGGAGCTGCTCTGGGGTGTTTTGTCTTTAGGCTTTTTGTTTTGCCCTGAACCAAGCCAGCTGAAATATTTTTGGCTTGCTGGGGTTTTTAAGTAATGGGTGTGTCAGCAAGTGCCTCTCTCATGATGAAAAGGCTTTCATGCAGCCGTCCTCAAAGATGGTCAGGGTCTGGCTTTGGAAGAATGCTCTGTAGTTGTGTCTTCAGAGGCTGGGGAGGAGGAAGGGGGGAATGGGTGCAAAGCAATCCCTGGAACTTCACCCTTGTGGGATCTGATGTACTTGGCTTTGAGCTGTCGCAAGCAGCTTGCTGGCTGGTGCTATCAGGCTGCGTAGCTGAGGCTCTCCTGTTCCTTCCCCTCCCTGTCTTACTTTGAGTATGACCAGTGCCCCGAGCTGGCATCAGGAGGTGGTGAGGGGCTGTGCTGTGCCCGGGAAGCCCTTGTCCCTGAAATGCTGGTGTGCGAGCCACTGTGGGAGGGATTTGGGGCAGATTCTCCACAGCTGGGAGGGTATAAGGCTGTGAGTGGTTGTTTCGAGTTTGTGTGTTAGCCAGCTGTAAGGGAATGGCTGTGCTCCAGCCCGGGATGGCGCTGGCGTGTGTCTGCGGGGAGAGCTGGGGCCAGCGCTTGCTAACCTCTCTGGACCTGGCACTGCCTCTTGGTAATTATGTCTTTAATCCCAGATCGATGAGGACTAGATGGCTGGAATGAGAGCGGAGGGAGGTGGTGTGTCCTGATGGTGGAGGCCCCAGGAGGAGAGCTGGGAGGCCCCCCTTGGGCAGCGGGGTACCCTGTTCTGCTGGCACCTCTTGCTCACGATGGAGCCGTGCCCGCTGTTCAGGGCAAGAGTGACAACCATGCATGCAGGGCAGGCTCCAGACACTCAGAGTCGCTACCCCGCTGCTTAATATGGCCTGATCCTGTGGAGAGACCCTCAGATGGCTGCTCTTGAGCATCAACCAGTCAGGTGTCTATGGGTCTGCAGAGCCATGGGCTCCACCCAGCCTGGGACCACAGCCCAGCCCTCCTCTGGCCGCCCTGATGTGACAGGCTCCCTGAAAGCCCCTTGGCTGCCTCCTCTCCCTGAGGCTTTCTGCTCTGACCTGGTGGCCCAAAGGGGAAGGGGGGCCTGTGTGTGTCCCTGCACCTCCTCCTGCCTGGGCTGGAGGGGCAAGGGGACAAGGAGAGCTGGTGGGCAAGGGACCTGTCCTGTTCCTTCCCTTTGCTGTTGTGTTTACTCCCTGTGGAAGGGACGGGAAGGAAACAGCCTCACAGCTGCTCTGGCCCCTTATCTGGGGCCCTTAACAGCCCTGCAAAGTTCATTGTTAGCTTCCATGTTCTCCGGGCCATGTTCCCAGGGGACGTGCAGAGGTGGGGACCTGGGGCTGGGGAGGCGTTGCTGGCTGAGTGGGGCCTGCCTGGCAGCCACGCAGGGCTGAAGGAATCTGCTGGGGTTGCTGTCTCTCCTCTACGTGCCTTCCCACAGAGGCAAACCCTGCTGGTCTGCGCTTGCTGCTCAGTACTGAGGCTGCTTGCAAGCAAGTGAGCCCGTTCACAAGAGCAGGGGCTCAGCTAAATCTCTCCTTGAAGCCAGCATACTGGCTTCATCCTCATGCCCCCAAAAATCTGCCTCTTCTGCGCGGAGATGGTTGAGGGCAGGCTGGAAAGCTGTTACATAGCAGCACAGCTACTTGGGCAAGGTCATTTCATGGAGGATCCCTTCTCTGTAGGGGGGTGTTCCTCTCTTTAAAAGGGCTTGGTAAAATACCACTCTGGAAATGAATCGCAACAAGCCAATGGGGCTTCTGGCTGGGGTTTCGGATGCTCCAGTTGTGTAGGGTGTCTGGGTGGAAGGACCATCCCCTGACCTGCTGGAGAAGTCTGAGATGTGGCAAGGAGATGCTCCCCCTTTCTTGGGGGAGAGGGACTGGGTCAGTGGTCCAGGCTGCCTTTCCCCAGCACCTGGCTGGCTGCAGCAGCCTCCCTGCATAGGACTCCATGGGGCTGGGCCCTGCAGACCTTCTCTGTGTCCACGTGGACTGACAGTGACCTTCAGTGAGTCCCAGAAGGCAGAGGATCTGTGTCCCTCCTTGAAGTGGGTGGATGCCCACCAAAGATGGGGAGTGTTTGACTCAAGGGTGAGAGCTGGGATGTGTCAGCACTGTTCTGGGAGGCACCAAGCCTCTCCTTCAGAGGATTTCTGTTGCAAATCCATGGGGCAGGTGAGACCTCGGAGCAGCAAGGGTCAGAGCCATCCCTGCATTTCCATACAAGGCTTGGGGAGTCAGTCTGTTGAAAAAAGCCTTAGGGTGTACCTGTTGCAAGGTGGGAGGAGTGGAAAGCTGCGTGCATGAGCCAGGAGTCATGTCTGGGAGCCTCTGAAAGCCTGCTTGGGCTCCTGAGCCAAGAGTGGGCTGCATTCTTCCTGGTCAGCGAGCATCCCAGCCTGTGTTGGGCTGGGGCAGGGCACTGGGAGCTGAAGCGGTCTGGAGCGGGTGTGCATGTGCCACGTCTTCATCTCTTGCTGGGCACCACATGGGCACGAGTGGAACAACTGGACTTTTTTATTGATGAAGGCAGATTACAGGGTGGTGGCGACCAGATGTTCAAACGCTCTGCAGGCAGCCTCCAAAGCACTTGGAAAAAATCCACCCTGCTTTGCTGGGCTCAGTCGTGGTGGTGCCACAGTGTCTGATAAGTGCCAGGGCTGCCTGTGTCTGAGGGAAGCCTTGGGGGGGGGCAGCGCCACAGGGAGGAGCGGACTCGCTGGGAGTGGGGGAGGCATTTCAGGAAGGGTTTGATCTGGATACACTTGAGATGGTGTGGGACATTAATAAAATAAAAAAAAAAACAAACACAAAAAGCCCTGCTCTGAGCTCCTCTGAACCAGCATCTGCTGCAGGCTGGGACTGGAGGGGCAGGGCTGCCAGGGAGCGTGGGGCTGTGGGAGGCGGATGGGACAGGGCTATGCAGAGGGGCCCGTGCTTTTGGTCCCAGGTCACTGTTACGGCCACACCAGGGTGGTGGCACTGGGGGAGTGGGCAGAGCCAATGCTGGAGACCGTGGGAAAGCAGTTTCTGTGCCGGCTGCCTGGCTTGAACGAGTCCCCACACGCCTTCCATGACTGCACGGGTTTGGGAAAACCTCTGCCGGGCTTGCTGGGACTCGGCTGGGCTGTGCAGGGGGCGGAGGGCTGAGCCCTTGCCACTCCTCTCTGCCTGTGCCATTCCCCCATCGTTGGGGAACAGTGGGAAATGCTGGGGTCTCCAGGGAGCTTGGAGGCTGCTGTGGGAACAGTGCCGTGTTTGCCACCCCACCGGCCCTTGCCAGACACTGCCCCATCCCTCAGAGAAGAGGGGGTGGGAGAGAGGAGCCCGTTTCCCCAGTCTGTTACCTGCCCTACCTTCTGTTTTGAGATCACTCGTGTGATTTTTGACCTCTTCTCCTGCTGTCCCTGCAGCTCTCTTCCCTCCTGCTTCCTCACTGTGGTGGCTGGGCTATTTCTCCCATGACTCTCTGCGTCTAGACCTGGCTGTCCTGTGCCTTTGCCAATCAAACCCGAACTTCCTCTTCTAACAGGTCTGTATGGAAGAATATTGCCTTTCTTTATCAAAATATGTTGATTGTGGTGTGCTCGTTCACTGTTCTCCTTTGGGAGGGGATGTTGGAGGGGTCTAAGCCAATGTCTGTCCCTAGATCTGTGGGGTGAGGACCCCCTGGGCTGGCTGCAGCCCCAAATGCTCTGGTGAGTACCTGGAGGGTGGGAGTTCTGGCAGCAGGCAAAGGGGCTCATGGGGTCCCCTTTAGGGGGATCCCATCCCACTTCATCCCCTTTCCTGGGTAGGAAGGAGCTGTGGAGCTGGGGCTGTTTCCCCACCTCTTGTCACACTGGGGAGGAGGGAGCAGATAAGTGACACAGCCCTCTCCCTCAGCCCTTCCTTGGAGGAAATAGTGGGATGTGGGTCACTTCTCATTCTGCGGGGAAGTGTCCCCTGTTCTGCCCCAGGGACATGCCCTCCCCTCCTGCCAATTACTGCAGGCAGCTTCTTCTTGTAGGGGAAGTTCTCCTGCAGCCTGAGGAGGGCCCTTGTGGGAAGAGGGAACCTCCTCAGCACACAGCAGCTCTTCTGAACCTGGCTCAACCCCAACTGTTTGATGTGATGGGGGAGGACCTTCTGCCTCCAAAGTGCCACTTCTCCAAGCTTAAATGCTGGGGCAAGGAGCACCTGAGTCACGCCTGGGGATGTGCTGCTCTGAGACCCTCCTGCCAGCTCTCTGGTGGTGGGTGGGAATGGGTGTTAATGCCATGAGATAATTTTTTTCTTGTTCTGAGAATCTGTCTTAACAAAATCAGTCTCTTCTGACCGTTCTTCTCTCCTCCTTTCCTCCCCCAAATCACATGCAGTGAAGAGAGGGGCTCCTGCCCTTCTGGGTCACTTTTCTTCCCCTCACTTTGACACCAAGCCGCCACCGCTTGTGCTTCCCTGTGCCCTCTGCCCCCGCCCTGCCCGTCCTGGGCACCCATCACCCATGGACGACTCGGAAGTGGAGTCGACCGCCAGCATCCTTGCCTCTGTCAAGGAGCAGGAGGCACAGTTTGAGAAGCTGACCCGGGCGCTCGAGGAGGAACGGCGCCATGTCTCAGCCCAACTGGAACGAGTCCGGGTCTCCCCACAGGACGCTGGCCCGGGCTTGGCCAACGGCACTCTCACCCGGCGGCACCAGGTAAAAAACCCCCTCGGCAGAGGTGGGTGCGGAGGCTTCCTGGAGCCCCCGTCTGTGTCAATCCTGCCTCGGTGGGGGCAGCCCTGGGCCCGGCTCCCTTCCTTTGGCCCTCCTTGGGTATGTGAGGTGGAGGAGGGCTAGGCTGGTCTTATAACACTGATGGTGCTGTATGTGTGCTGGGGCTGAAGGTGATCTGGGGATGTGCAAACCTACCTCGGCAGCCAGAGTCTTCTGGGGAGAAGGAGCCAGCCTTGGAGGGTCTTGCTACCAGGTCAGCTCTGGTTTGGTTTTGTGAAGGTTGGAGGCTGTCTGTATTCACTACCTGGGCATCTTTGCTCTCCATCCCACTCAGCTTCTTGGAAGGTGGCCAAAATGCAGGGAGGGGTTGGTGTATAGCTGTGGGGGAGCGTATGTGTCTCCCTCTTGTGTGACGATGGACAAGTCTCTGGAGCCTCAGTCTATCCCCCAAACAGCCAAACCAGGGCTAGGAGAGATCTCTTTTCTCTACAGGCCTGGAAATGTGGTTTCATCTGCCTTGGCTTGAGGTCTCTCTCCTGTTCTCACTTTCCCGGGCTCTGTTTTGGGGAGGGGTGCTTGGAGGGCTGGTGTGTGGTGTTGTGCCTTTCCGGCAGGTGGAAAGGCAGGTACCTTTCCGGCTGTGGAAGGTGGTGGTGCTAGGAGAGACTTGTGGGTCGGGGGGAAGGAAGGAGTGGGCAGAGGAGGAGCGCAAGAGAGTTAAATGGTAGCACTCTGCAATCAGCTGCCGAGCATCCGTGCTGTTCCCTCGCAATCCTGGGGGGCCTCTGGGATGTTGCTTGTGGCTTCTGTGTCAGAAGATGTGGAAGGTCTCCAGGGCTGTGCTGAGGAGCAGGAGAAGGGTCTTGGACGTTCCATCAGGAGTGTGTGGGCACCGTGGGAGAGCTGGGATGTCTGGAGCAGGGCTGAATGGTGTGTTCTCCAACTCTTCCCCAGGCTGGAATGGGGGCTGGTTTGCTGCATGTCGCACAGACCCCCGAGGAGCATGCTCCTCTCCTGGGAGTGACACATGGGGTGCGCCTTGGGTGTCTGTCAGATGCAGGAGATGGCCTGCTCAGGGCCTGGCAGGGAAGGTGGGATGGATATATGGCATCCCGGCAGTGGGACATAAGTCTAGTAACAGGCCTGCTGTGGTGCTGTGTGTTTCAGAACGGCCGTTTCTTGGGCGATGCTGACCTGGAAAGGCAGAAATATCCAGATCTGAAGCTCAACGGGCCGCAGGTAGGGGGAGCTGAGCCCTCTGGCTGTGGGCAGCCTGCTTGCTGGGTGGGGGGGTGCAGGGCTCCAGTGTCCACACTCTAGGTGGGAGAGGGGGACTTGTGTTTCTAATCTGGCTGCCCTGGCTTGAAGAGGCTTTGGGTGTGGGGTTTTTGGTATCCCCTCCCATGCAAGAGGATATCAGGGCTCCCCAAGAGGTGAGATCTCTTGGCCGGCTCACTCCAGGGAGGCCAGTGTTGGCGGTGGGGGGCTGACTGCCTGTCCCTTGCTCCCCTCAGGACCACAGCCACCTCTTGTACAGCACAATTCCCAGGATGCAGGACCCGGGCCAGATCGTGGAGGAGACGTACACCATGGAGGAGGATCCAGAAGGGGCTATGTCAGTTGTGTCTGTGGAGACATCAGACGATGGGACAACCCGGCGTACAGAGACCACGGTACAGGCCTGGGGAGCGCATGGAGGGACAGGGCTCTGGTCAGGGAACCTGATGGCTGGGGTGCTACAGCTGTGATCTCTGCCAGCTTGCCGTGCTGTGAGCTGAAACGGGGTGTGAAATCTGCCTGGAGTAAGGTGCTGGGCTGGAAGGGGAATCTGGGGATGCAGGGGTGTGGTGGATTTCCTGATGGGAGTGTGTCCTGCATCCGTCCCTCTAGGTGAAGAAAGTGGTGAAGACTGTGACCACGCGGACGGTGCAGCAGGTGCCGGTGGGGCCTGATGGGTTACCTTTGGAAACCTCCCCCGTCACCAGCAACTACGTCCAGACCATGGACAGGAACTTCCGCAAGAATGGCAATGGGGGCCCTGGCAGCTACCTGAGCCAGCCGGGCACAGCCACTCTCCCTCGTAACTACCACTATCCCGACGGCTATGGCCGCCCCTACGAGGACGGCTACCCGGGCAGTGATCACAGCTACGGCAGCCTGTCCCGTGTCACCCGCATTGACGAGCGCTACCGCCCTTCCATGGACACCTACCGGGCCCCCAGCCGCCAGGACATCTATGGCCCCCAGCCTCAAGTGCGTGTCGGGGGCAGCAACATGGACCTCAACCACTTCCACCCCGAGCCATACGGCCTGGAGGATGACCAGCGCAGCGTGGGCTTTGAAGATGTGGACTACGGGCTTATGTCTGACTACGGCACGGCCAGGCGGGCAGGGACCCCATCTGATCCTCGGCGGCGGCTCAGGTACATGGCAGGAGGCACTGGGGCGGGGGATGCTGTGGGGTTGTCCTGGTTTTGGCTGGGATAGATTAGTGCCTGCCAGGTTAAACCACAACAGGGGTCCCTTTTTAACTTCACCCTCCCTGGAGGAAGGAGGATCGCAGAGACAATACCATGAGCTGAGTCACACGCAGCTCATGCAGGAGAAAACTTGCATCCGCTTCTAATTGTCTGCTTAATTGGTGGTTAAAACTCAGTGCTAATTGAGCCGGTCATCCTGCAGCAAGGAGTTCCACTGGGTGGTTGGATGTAGCTCCAGGCCCTTCCCTCTCTGTGCCACCCTCTCTGTGCCGCCCGTTCTGCTAGTGGGACGGCAGGCTCATCTGCGCCCCAGCCTGGCTTATCCTGCTGGGAACCGTGCCTGGTGTGGGGTGTGCGGCACAGCCCTGCATCAGAAGTAGCAGTAGCCTCATGATCGTGCTCTTGCCGAGCTGAGAGCAGCCCTGGGGAGCTGTGCTGAGCCCATGGCTGGTGTGAGCAAGGCTCAGCCCCGCAGTGCACCAGGGAGCGTTCCTGCAGCAAGGCCCTCGGGCAGGGCAGGGTGGGAGAAGCTGCTCAACCTGTTTGGCAGTAGTAGCTTCTTCCCTCATTTGTCTGGGGGTGATTAGCAGCTCCTCCAGCCTGACTGCTGAGCAACTGCCCCACCAGGCTGCGGCTGCCCTCGGGCAGCCAGAGCAGGGTCTTGGTGGTCCTTTAACTGCCCTGCCAGGCACGTGGCAGGGCATCCTGGGATGTTACATGCCTGAGGCCACGACTCCTGTAGACTGGTGTCTTGTGCCAGCTGTGTCTCTTGCACAAACACTGCTGCTGCCTGCTTAAGCCTCACAACCTGCTCTGCTTGCTGCCTGGGCTGTCAAGCGGGGTTTGGGGAGGTGCTGGAGGAGGGCTCAGAGGGTGGTGAGGTAGGAATGGAGCAAGGGGCTGAGCCTGGGCCCAAGAGATGGGGAGGGGGCTGTGTCAGCAGGCTAGGATGGATGTACATCTCCTGAGTACCCTGGGGCTGGGGGGGACAGGTAAGGCTGAGCATAGGCTGCTTAAGCTCCTAGGGCATAAAATCGAGGCAGGAGGGAGAGACCCGAGGGAAAGGAGGCTCTTGCCAGCCTGTGCTGGAGATCCACCTGTCTTGAGGCACGTACTGTAAATCCACGGCAGCTCCTGGCTGTTGAAGGGACTAAAGGAGGAGCTCTGTCCTTTTGGCTTGTGCAGCACAAGTGTTTGTTGCTGTGCTGAGCCAGTTGGGGTGGTTGTTCACCCAGATTAATTTCCCTGACCCGCCTTGCCTTGTGAAGCTTGTGCCGGCTAGAGGAGGGCAGGCAAGGCTGCTGCCCCCACTGCGTGCACAGACTCAAGCAGGCTGCGAGAAGCCAGCATTAGCAGTTTTGAGCACCTGGCAGTCAGGCTAGCCCCTCGGTGAGCAGCTTGGGCAGAAGGGGTTAAGCAGGCATGTGCAACCTGTGGCTGCTTCAGTCCAGCCTGGGGCTGTGGAGGGAGCGAATGCCAGCCAAGACAGAAGGCTCTGGCTTGCAAACCTTCCCTGGGTTTGTGTCCTGCCCAGCACACGGGGGCAGAAGCCCTTCCTGGATGGCCCGATCTGAACTGCTCGGCCTTTGAGACCACGAGTCCTCTGGGCTGGATGGTGTCTGTGCTCTTCCTGCCCCTCCAGATCCTGGAAGACAGGAGTTAAAGGAGCCAGGTATGGGAGCTGCAGCTGGGTGGGAGACCGGAGGACTTGGGTCACAATAGAGGGGGAGAAGGTCCCACTTCCAAGCACGGCCAAGGAGCAGCCCTGGTGGAGATGTCACCTTGTCCTGCAGGGATGGTGCAGGGTATGGAAGATGAGTTGGTGCGGCCTATGAGCAGGCTCTCCCTCCCCAGGCAGACCGATAAAGATCGCAGCAATCTGTGGAATCCAGGTGCTGTTGAGCTTGGCTTGTCCCCTGCCTTCTCAGTTACCATCTGTGCTCAGCTGCCCAGCTTGCAGGAATGGGAACAGGAGAGATCAGCATCCCCCCTGCCTCAGAGATGTTTGTCTTGAGCAGGGGCCTGGCTGTTAATGACTTCCTTCAGGGAGGCAGCTTGCCAGGCACACGGGAGATGGAGTGTGTTGAGCCGAGAGACGCAGCGTGTGCTGGCTGCCATTGGCTGCAAAGTGTGCAGGTCCCCTCTCCTGCGGCTCTTCTCGGAGGTCCCTCTCTGCAGGGGAAGAGAGGTTTAGCAGCAGCCCAGGGTGTGCTCCCCCCTCCCTGCCAGCCCCATCTCGCCTGGAGGGGCAGGGGGGTATCCAGCACTGAATGACCCTCGTGGCTGGGCAGGAGCTCCCTTTTGGGGCACGTGAGTCTTGACATGGGAGCAGGGTCAGCTGCTGGCTGTGTTGACAAGCATTGGGTGGCTTGTTTGTGACACTGGCACTCGGCTGCATCTTGCTCTTGCCTTGTCCTGCTGCGGGGATGGTGTTGGTGGTCGGTGCGGTGCACTGAGCACCGTGCGCTGCAGCAGCGGGGAGCAACTCCCCGGGGCAGCTGGACTCCTTGGCATCTCTTAGTAGCCAAGTCATGTGGCAAGCAGCGCGTTTCCCTGTCAGGACATACTGAAAGCCAACCTCGCAGCCCACTGCCACCATCCTTGGTGGTGCTGTGCAGCAGCACCTGAGAGGGATGTGGCTGTGAAAGTGGCTGCCACCTGGAGCCGGTGGCTTTGGCGAGTCCCGTACCAGAGGCTGTAGGGGAAGCAGTGGTGTAAGGAGCAGAACCTGCTACCATCCTTCATTGCAACTTCCCCTGCCTGCTTAGGGGCAGGGGGCTGCCTGCACCTGATTTGGGAGCTCAGAAGGTGGCTGAGGAGTCCCCAAGGCAGGTGTGAGCCAGAGGATGGTACCTCACCTTGGGCCCTGGTTGTGTGTCCCCAGTGCCCTGGCACAGCAGGGGTGACAGCAGCGGTCAGGTCCCTCTGTTTAAGTGCCAAGTCCCCTCCCATCCCCTTCTGTTGGAAATTGCTGGAGTCCTCTGCCTAGGTGGGGGAAGGATTATATTGCCAGTGACTACAAAAATAGGGTGAGAATCTGGGATTTTGTGTGGTGCATGTTCTGGGGGTGTTAAATATCACCTTGGCGCATGGGGGACTAGTTACACTTTCTTGCAGCTTCCATGTGTTTGTTGGGGCTCATTCCCAGTGCTGCTAAGTTTGTGGGTGAACCGCACCTCACCAGGGCAGGGGGTGTGGGACCACAGCTCTTCCCCATGCTTGAACTGGGAGCAGTGAGGCTGATCCCTGGAGCCCAGGTGTCCCTTGATGCCCAACTAAGCCCATCCTCTGGGCAGCAGTGCAACTTGGGTATATCACTGGGCATCTGCCGGAAAAAGAGTTTGAGCCCCATCCTGGCTAAAAATCTTTGTTCTAGCCATGACGCTCTGAAATAATGGCAGTGGCTTGGTCTGGCAGCAGCTCGTGTGTCCTGGGCTGCTGCGGGGCAGCTGGGGTGATGGGATGCAGTGTTGGATACAGCCAGACAGTGCAACAGAGAACTGGATGGCCTGAAACTGGACTCTGGGCGCTTGCTGCACCCACGCAGTGGCGGTGTAACGGGCCTGGGGAACTCCTGGGTGATTTGCTCTCCCAGCAATCTGTTGTGGTATGAACTTGCCCTCTAGTGGCTGCAGGCCCAAATTGTTTTTTTGTGCCTTTGGGGCTGGCTCCTGCCTCCGTGGAGGTTATGCAGAGACCAGGATCCAGCCTCTGACCCAAAACTAAACCCGCTGAGTGGGAAGGGACTGGAATAGCTGTTGAGGCTGCCTTCTCCTGGGGAACAACCGCCCGCTTCCTGAGCGGGCCTGGGGATGCATGGGGGTCACCTCCTGCAGCTATGGACTCCAGCTGGACCCTGTGTGGGGAGCAGGAAGGTGCCCCGACACTGCTCTGCTGCCTGGCTCCCAGCCCTTGATGGGAGTCTGCACGGTGCACTCCAGCAAGGTAGTGGTGACTAGACACTGTGTGCGCTTCAGACCATCTTCTGGTGGCTTGGAGGGGGTACAGCATCCCCCCCCAGGTCTAGGGCTCGTGCTGATGCCTGCTGTCTTCTCTCCTAGGAGTTATGAAGACATGCTGGTGGATGAAGTGGCCCCTGACCGGTACTACTGGGCCCCCCTGGCTCAGCATGAGCGGGGTAGCTTGGCTAGTCTGGACAGCCTGCGGAAGGGAGGTCCGGCCCCAGGTAACTGGCGCCAGCCAGAACTGCCGGAGGTAATAGCCATGCTGAGCTTCCGGCTGGATGCCGTCAAGTCCAATGCAGCTGCCTACCTGCAGCACCTCTGCTACCGTAATGACAAGGTGAAGACGGAGGTGCGCAAGCTGAAGGGCATTCCTGTGCTGGTGGGGTTGCTAGACCACCCCAAGAAAGAGGTGCACTATGGTGCCTGTGGAGCCCTCAAGAACATCTCCTTTGGCAAGGACCAAGACAATAAGATTGCCATCAAGAACTGCGATGGGGTACCTGCTCTGGTGCGCCTGTTGCGGAAGGCCCATGACATGGACCTCACAGAGGTCATCACAGGTAATGGCTCCAGGGAGGAGAAGGAGGGGCTAATCCGTTGGGTGAGGGATGCACAGTGCAGGTTTTTAAGCCCACATGATCTGATCGATCACCTCCCACTTGTGGCATTGCAGGAACACTGTGGAACCTGTCCTCGCACGACTCCATCAAGATGGCCATTGTGGATCATGCACTGCATGCCCTGACTGATGAGGTTGTCATTCCCCACTCAGGCTGGGAGCGGGAACCCAATGAGGACTCGAAACCCCGCCATATCGAGTGGGAGTCAGTGCTCACCAACACCGCCGGCTGCCTTAGGTATGGGAGGGGGGCTACCAACCGAGAGCTGGCATGGACTGGGGCTGCTGTAACACTCCTCCCTGGCTGCTCCTGCTAGCTTTCTGGAACTGCCAAAGGAGGTCTGCAGAGGAGCTGCTCTCCTAGGACAGCTGCTGGTGGTGCAGTCCTTGATTTTGGAGGTGTTTCTCTCAGTGGAGGGGAGCTACAGGAGTCTTTCTCTGGTTTGAGCTCTACTGGGTGAGGGCTGTTCTTCACCTGCCTTCAGCTGTCTCTCCCATGACTGTTCTCTCCTGCCTGCCAGGAACGTGAGCTCAGAGCGGAGCGAGGCCCGTCGGAAGCTGCGGGAATGTGACGGGCTGGTGGATGCCCTGATCTACATCGTCCAGTCTGAGATCGGCCAGAAGGACTCAGACAGCAAGGTAGTACAACGGGGGTGTTGTGGGGGCACATGTAGAGCTCTGCCCTTGTCAACCAGCTCTAGCAGTGCTCTGCTGTTCATGGTGGCTGAAGCTGGGTTCATCCCAAGACGGATGAAGAATGGACGGGGGAATCTTCACCAGGGAGGGATTTGGTCTGACAGGACTAGCTTGGGAAAACCCAGTCCAGGCTTATGCCTTTCCACGATCTCTGCTCAGGAAGAGAGAGCCTGCGTGGGGTATGACCTGGGTACTGTTTGACCAGGAGGTGTCTGGCACTCAGCCTGCAGTTTGCAATAGAAATGTTTGCCCTCCAACAGGGGTCTAGTGGTGTCTAGTCTACCAACTCATCCCCATGTTGGTATCCCCTGGCTCAGGGCTCCCTGATCTGCCTTGACGAGGCGTTGGCTTGAGTTTTCCTTGAGGATCTTTTGTGCTTATGGCAGAGAGATTTATCGCCCAGCAGAGTATGAACTCATGCCAGCAGAGCTGGCCATGCCTGCTTTGGGATGGGGGTATGCTCCAGCTCCATCTGAGATGGAGCTGCATATCCCCCTGGTCCCAGTTCAGCCCCCCTTGGCCTGGCTCTGGGTTGCAAGCTGTGATGGGGCCCTCGCTTGGAGACATGGGGCGGGCATGTGCTGCTCCAAGTCAAGCTATCTGGCTTTCTCTCTAGCTGGTGGAGAACTGTGTGTGCCTGCTGAGAAACTTGTCCTACCAAGTCCACCGTGAGATCCCCCATGCCGAGCGCTACCAGGAGACACCTCTGGCCCCTGCCAACAACGCTGGGCCCCATGCTGCAAGCTGCTTTGGTGCCAAGAAGGGCAAAGGTTCGTTGGGTAGCAGCAGCATGGAGGGAGGTGGGATAGAGACAGATCTACTACCGTGGAGCTTGAGGGTGGTCTGGGGTCTCTGTGTTCCTACTCTGGCATCTCTTGTGTGAAGGCTAAACTGCAGCTTTCTCTGGAGACGCAGTGGTCCATGTCTCCCCTGGCTTTGGGAGCTACTGCTTAGCTTACCCAAAGCATTTGACACAAGCTAATGGTGGGTTTCTGTGGTGGTGGGGTGGTGATGGATAGATGTCCACTAATTCCACACCTTCCCTTTTCTCCTGTGTTGCCCCTTCCCCTTCCCTTTTGCTTTCTTGCCAAATGATCTGCCCCATGATGCTGTCGGCACTTCTCTCCTCCTGCCTCCCCTCTCTCCTGTCCTTCTCTCCGCTTCGCCAATAGACGAATGGTTCTCCAGAGGTGAGTGCGCTCTTGGTTTTAATTTTTCCGTGGTTTGATTGGGTGCTTTCTCTAGCTCTGTTCCCCCCCCCCCCAGCTGGGCATGTACTGCCTGCAGTGTGGCTAATGTCCTTGACGTCCCCTCCTGGGACATGCTGGTAACTTAGCTTCAGCTCACCTCTGGGCTTGTTCTTGTAGCGAGTGGCAAAGAGCTGTTGGGCTGAGATGAGTGGGGAGAGGAGGTGTCTTATGCCTCTCTGCTTGCCCTTTGAAGGTAAAAAGCTCCCAGAAGATCCTGGTGCTGATACAGTGGATTTTCCCAAAAGAACAACTCCAGCCAAAGGTATGTTCCTCAGTGTGTGTGTGTGTGCGCAGGGCTGCTTCTCCACAAGCAGTCCAGGAGAGGAGTGAGTAGAGTTGATTTCTGATTGAAGTGAGCCTCTCAAATGGGCAAAGGTTTGGTTTGGAGGAGGTATGTTTCTGGTTGCCCAAGTGCCTGTCAAAACACTAGCTCTGCCACAGATAGTTGTGAGGATGCTGCTTGTGCTTGGAGGAGGTCAGCGCTGCCTCAAGACAGGCTTCCTGGGGTGCAGAGGGAACTATTGCCCTAGGGACTGCGGGACAGCATGGTGACACTGCCCTAGGAAGGGTAGTCCTCTATGGTGATCTCAGACTTCTCAGCACTGCCCTCTTGCCTGCTCTTCTCTCCTGGGCATGAAGAACAGGCAGGATTTAAAGCCAAAAAGCCCTGCCTTAAAGTCCGCTCCAGCATGAGGAAGGGTCATTCCAAGAAGCCTCTGGTGACAAGTGTCTCACCGCCTAGAGGGCTGTGAATCACAATCCCTCTCTGGCTGGCCAAGCAGTAGGCATTAGCCAAGGGCTTGAGTTCAGCTCCTTCTGCCCCAAAACACCCTGTGGTTTCTGGGAGGACCCTGGTGCTCCCAGGGGTACGAAGAGTCAAGCTAGAAGAATCACAAGGAAACTTAGGACAGACCTGACCATATTTGAGCAGCTCAAATATGCAGTGGTGGCTCCTCAGGCTGACCTGGGCTGTGGGAAGAGTCAGCACCCATCTCTGGTGGAAGCCCGAGAAGCTACCTGCTCTGTCTTTGGGCTGGGGACATCCCTCACCACAGCTGAGGACAGAGACCAAGATGGAAAACCTGGCCTCGCAACTGTAAACTGCAATCTCACCACTGCTTTAGAAGTCACTTCTGGGCAGAAGTTTCCGTGGAAAACAGTTAATACTTGAAGGCCTGATCCCTGCCTGCTCGCTTAGGGTAGTGGAGAGCTAGAGACCTGGTGCCTGCAGTCTCTGAGGATGAGCTGAACCCAAGCTTCTTCAACATGGTGTTGGTGGCCACTTGCTTGGGGTGTTTCCCCTTCCTCCTGCTGAGAGTGTGGGCTGAGCCTTTTGCTACCACAGCGCCTGGCTGCCTAGTTTGCTGCCCCACCATGTGCCCTTGCCTGGGCTGGGTGCTTCTCAGCCAGGTGTACTGAAATTGAGGTCTCCTTGCTGATGGCAGCAGTGCTGTGGCTCGGCCCAAACCTCTCCTGAGCTGCAGCGGTGCGTTGGGGATGATGGGCAGCAGCCATGGTGTCCTTGATCAGGGCTGGTGCTGGGGGCTGGGTTTTCTGGTACTGTGGGGCAGCCTGGCCCCGTCTGTACCAAGGATCCAGCCTCCAGGGAGCAGTGAGCCTGGGTAAAAGCTGGAAAGCCTCATCTGCCCAGCAGTGCTCCTTTGAATGAGTCAGATGTTAGCAGAACCCTTGAGTAAGTCCTTCCTACTCACGTTCTTCTGATAGGTTACGAGCTCCTCTTCCAGCCAGAAGTGGTCCGGATATACATCTCCCTTCTAAAGGAAAGCAAGACTCCAGCCATCCTAGAAGCTTCGGCAGGAGCCATTCAGAACCTATGCGCTGGCAGTTGGACGGTGAGTGCCTCACGGAGCTGGCCATGTCCACGTTCATCTGTGGTGCAGGGAAGGGGGCCCTGGGGAGCAGGGAGCATCACCCTCGGGGTACCAGCAGAGCTGTAGATGGCCAAGGCTCTGCCGTTTCAGGCTGTTCACTTTGTGCACGGCTCACTACCCAAGAAGATACCGTTCAGCAGCATAGTTAAGGTGTGGACCAGGTCTCTCATGTGCTGTTAAGGGCTCTGTGCTCCCTGCCAGCTGTGTCTTCCCAAGGGCTGCCTGTCTGTGTCCCTGCTTGCAGCCAGCTCCCTGCCATTCCTTTCCTTCTGTAGGCTGGGGGCAGGGGATGAAGGTTTGGGGCTGCTCTGCAGCCCCTTGACCTGCATTCTCTTGGTGTGTGTGGAAAGACCATCTGGGAAATCTTGCTTGCCTGGCCTGCAGGGGGGCTTCGGGACAGAAATGGGACCTTTGCAGTCTGTCTCACCATGGGTGAAGCCAGGACCCTCAGTTCCCAAGATGAGGTGGGAAGGGTGGCAAGGCTCCCAGTGGTGTCCCCAGGAGCAGGGAGAGACTGTGCCTGCCCAGGTTACACTGTGGTGCTCTGCCTCTCCCCTGCAGTATGGCCGGTACATCCGCTCGGCGCTGCGCCAGGAGAAGGGACTCTCTGCCATTGCTGACCTCCTGACCCATGACAGCGAGCGAGTGGTGAAAGCAGCATCTGGAGCCCTGCGCAACCTGGCTGTCGACTTGCGTAACAAAGAGCTGATAGGTGAGGGCTGTGGAGGAGAGGACATCATGCTCTCTATCCATCCGGGTTAGGCAGGAACTTCCTCCTGATCTTGGCAGCTGAGGAAGTGCATGGGCCCAGCGTCTGTCTACTGCTCCTCTCCCAGAGTAGCATGTACTGAGCTCCCCTGAGAGGGACATCAAAATTGGCCACCTGTCCTTGGTCCTTCTGCAGTGATCTTTTTATTTTTTTTTTTACCTTGTAGTCCTCTTCCTCGCTTGCTCATGCCCAGCTCTTTCCCCTTCCCAGGTAAACATGCCATCCCCAACCTAGTGAAGAACCTGCCTGGAGGCCAGCAGACCCCAGCCAAAAACCTCTCTGAGGACACAGTGGTGTCAATCCTCAACACCATCAATGAAGTAATTGTAGACAACCTTGAGGCTGCCAAGAAGCTGCGGGAAACGCAGGGGATTGAGAAGTTGGTGCTGATCAACAAATCTGGGTAGGCTCTGCTCAAAGGGTAATGCAAGGGGCAGAGAGGGGCTTCTCCAGGAGCTTCCTCGAGGCCATGGGTATTTCCAAACATCTCTTCCTTCACCTCTTTCTAGAAACCGCTCGGAGAGAGAAGTCAGAGCAGCTGCCCTCGTCTTGCAGACAGTCTGGGGATATAAAGAGCTGCGGAAGCCCCTGGAGAAGGAAGGCTGGAAGAAGTCAGATTTCCAGGTATGGGGATGGGGGAATGGGGATGCCCTGTTGTGGCTGGGGCAGTAGGTAGGGTCCTGCAGCAGGGAGAAGGGTGTTCCTGGAGCTCAGCAGTACTGGATTTCAGCTCTTACCTTGCTGGTGGGATTGGAGACCCTTGAAGGTGTCCCCTCTGCCATTTCTCAGTGGATGGCCGGCAGGAAGTCTCTACTAAGGAAGAAACACTCTGTAAAGCTTTAAGCCCTGTGTCCCACACAAAGTATGCAGATCTGCAAGCAGGAAAGTTTGCAGCACTAAAAGCCACTGTGGCAGTGCTGAATAACACGGTTCTCCAGGACTCAGTTTCTTTTCCAAAAGCTGGGATTGTCCTTGCTTCTTAAGGGCTGAGTGCTGCCCTGACCCAGTCCAGGCAGGCTGCCTCCACTCTCTAATGTGGGTGCAGCCATGGGCTCTGGAGAACCCTCTGGTTGCTTCAGGGCCCTTGCTCAAGGGCTGTGGGAGGGTTCCTGGGTCTGTCCTGGTGTTGGGGGCTGGAGGGGTGAGATGTGCTAATGGGGAAGGAGTGTCTGGGCCAGGGTGTGAGTGGTCACTGTCTGATGTTCCAGGTGAGCCTGAGCAATGCCTCTCGGACCCAGGGAGGCAACTCGTTTGATGACAGCACCTTGCCTCTCATCGACAGGAACCAAAAAACAGGTATGTGCCTTCCCTTCAGCACCTGTCCCCACTGTCATCTTTCCACCTTGTGGGTACCCAGAACAGCTGGTCTTTATCCCCTCCCTGCTCTTCAGCCCCGGTTTTCTTGGCAGCCACAGCTGCTCACACAAGGCCATCAATTTGGGCTTTGGGTGGCTTCTCAGGGCTAGAAATTACACATGCAGTTAACATAGGTCCTGTAGCATCCTTGGGTCAACAGTGTTGCAGCTGGGTCTCCTCTAGCTGAGGTAGGCAGTGGTTCCTCTGCTGCTCGTGGCTGCAGGGGCTGTGTCTGATCTGCTGCTCTCCCATGCTTGTAGACAAGAAATCCTCCCGGGAGGAGATCCAGATGAGCAACATGGGACCAGGTAGGAGAGGGACTGGAAGGGGGGCATTTTGCCTCCTTGGTATGCTGGGAGGGGGGGCAGGGCTCACGTATCCTATGGGGATGATGCTGCCTCCCATGGAGGTGACATGACTGACTGTCCCCTCTCCTGCTCCAGACAACTATTCCACACTCAATGAGAGGGACCACAGCAGGACACTGGACCGATCTGGTGACCTCGGAGATATGGAGCCAGTGAAGGCAGCACCGTTGATGGTGAGCAGCTCTTCCTAATGAGGGAGGAGTGAGCGGGACTGGGTTGCAGGAGATGACACATCACTGTCCTGGCTGGCAGGAGGAGGGGAGAACTGGGCTCCCACAACTAACACACACCCCTCTCCCCACTCCATCGCCCTTACTAACCCCCGTGTGTCTGCAGCAGGAGGAGGGGCAGGAATCGCAGCCTGAGGTAGAGGAGGCGGAGGAGGATGCTGCCGTGTTTTCCCCCATGTCGGTATGTCCCGCAGTGTCCTGCCCAATCTGAACAGCGGTGACAGATCCTGCTGCGCTGTTAGGGGTGCTTTGGCAAGCCAAATTCTGCTCTGATCGCTGCTGCCAGCAATCGTTGCCTGATCCATCGGGGCCATGATCACACCTCCACTGCTCGCTCGCTCTCTGGGTGTGCTAATGTCTCCCTCTCTCTCCACAGCAGAAGATCTAGCTGCCGTCCCCACCTCCACTCAGTTTGGGTTGATAATATATTATATATATAAATATATATATATAACTCTTCATGATGAAATGGACCAACTTTTACCTTGTCTTATTTTTGGATTTTTTGCTGGACTGTTTGTGCCAACTAGCCAGCCAAATGACTGGGCCTGATCCCTCAGGGGCAGCCCGGGCCGCTCTGCCTCCTCTAGACCGCTGCACCTCCCTGTTTTGGGACACCTCAACCAATAACTCTTCCTCCCTGTCCTCCACCACCTCCTTTCTCCAGAGAGTAAAACCCTCCTGCCTGACTCTGCCGGATCGACCGGCGTGGATGCTGCAAAAGGACTCTGGATCTCTGCCTTGACCAGGAACTGCCTTCTTTCCCATGCCTTCCCTCTGGAGACGTCTGCAGGGACAGAGACTGGGACCTCACTTGCCGCCTTTTTTGTTTGTTTGTTTTGGGGGTTTTGTTGCCTATAGGATATATTTTTGTGCGGGATTGCTCTTCAGCCAGGGCTGTGGGGACAACAGGAGCATCCCTCCCTGGTGGCGGCAGGACGAGGGTGAGGGGGGCTGGAGTCATGGGGGGGTGAGGGGAAGGAAAAACAGCAATAAGTTCTCTTGCTTTGCTCTAGATGAGGCTTTGGGGGCATGGGAAGGGGGATCTGGCTCTGGATCCTGTGGAGGGGTCTGGATGGGGCTGCTGGCCCCCACCCCGTGACTGTGTGAGGAGCAATCCTTATGTGGGGAAGATGGTCAGTGTGGGGGGCTTGGGCTGGGCCTCCCCGTGCAGGAGGCAATGGGTCCCTGTGGAAGGAGGAGATGCGGCAGGGCTTTTGGGGAGAGGCAGGCTTCTTGGGGTGCACTATGTGCCAGGCCTGAGGAGCAGGCGCTGGCGGGGCTGCAAGTGGGTAGAGCCAGGATCCCCTCTCTCACCCCCACGCACCAGCTGCCTGTGGCGGTGCCCCTCTGACTTTCTCTTGACATGTGCCTTTCTTTTGCCACTGTGAAATAGCTCTTTTGAATCGTACTGTCTGGCTTCTTTGCTGGGCAAGGGGTGTTTCCTGGGCTTCCAGCAGGGCTGAGCGCTTCCCTTCCCTGCTGGGAGCCTTAACTGTCTGCAGTGGGGCTGGAAGCCTGTTTTTGGGGGGATCCCAGCCACCCTGCCCTCACTGATAGGGTGCAGGGCTCTCATCTGCATCCTGTCCTGGGGAGACTAGGTTGCCACATGAGCTAGGACATACACATACTCCTCCTCTTCTCTGCTGTGGTAGTGGGGAGCACATCTAAGTGCTGTGATCTTTTGGGGAGCCCTTGGGCTCCCTATGCAACTGGAAGCCTCTGTAGGAGGCTGCAAACTGGAGCGGGAGCCCTCCCCAGCCTGGGGCTCCCCCTGAACCATGGGCTCATGTGGGGAGCGGGGAGGCTGCAGCAGGCAGAACTGGTGCCTTGCTCCTCCCTGCTCCTCTACCTGAAAGCACCTCCCAGCTCTGGCTGAGCCCTCCCTGGCTCCAGCCCCACCTCAGCTCAGTTTGGTTTTGTTCTGGGGTCTAACTTCTCTTTTCATTTAAATATGTAAAACACTAATTCCTTTTTTAATTTTTAATTGCAAATGAACCAAAAAAAGGTTACCCCCTTCTCTCCTCCCCTGCCCTGGCTCTCCTGGGCCACCCCTGCCCTGGTGGGGAGTGGGGCTAGGGAGGAGGGGAGCAGGGAGCAACAAGCAGTTCCTTGTCTGATTCCTGTGCACACTCTTGTAACGCTTTTAAAACAAAATGATTTTTTTATATAAATAAAGTTTTTAAAGTGTGTCTGTGTGCCTTCCACCTAAGGCTGCCACCTTAGCGTTTTTAGCTTTGCAGTTGGGACCATCTTTTCCAGGGGCAGGGCTGTTCTCTTGAGCATCGCTCGGCTGTGCGTGGCTCTGAAAGATGCCACTTTGACAAACCCTTTCTTGGGCTGGAGTGACATTTCCTCCTCTTTCTAGGAAAAATAAAAAGTACCAAAACTTTGCTTTGTACTGAGTTCCTAACCCTTTTTGCAGGGTACTTGGGGCTGTGTAGTCCTCCCTCTCCCCAGAGCATTGGGGCTTCCTCCCGCGAAGCCTTTCCCTGAATTTTCCCTCTCTTCTGGTGGCTGGTAGGCTTTGCACAAGTGAAGAAATACCATAATTTGTCTAGTGCTGAGTGCGTCCTTAAAAAACCTGGCTGGGGGAGCCCTCTGGAGCAAGAGCTGCCCCTGTAGAGCACAGCTAGGCTGCAAATGTACTCATCCCTTCCTGAGGAATACCGAAGCCAGGCTGAAACATGTTAACTCACTTTGCTTTCACCTGTCTGTGCATGTGAAAATAAGTAGAGAAAGAAATTCTGTAAATTTGTGGAAATACCTTTTTGGAAGCAGCTTTCTGGCTTCTGCTTCAAACCAGCTTTTTACTGAAGCTGCGCTGCTGTTGGAAAGATTTCACTGGGGTGCAGAGCAGCTCTTTTTACCCTGTGGTAGCAGGATGTGGGTCTGCAGTGATGCAGGGCTCGGGTGATGCTGATTTCCTCCATGGTGCAGCACAGAGCTTGAACTGCTCCCCTAGGGAGGCTGGGGCTGCTGTCTTCTGGGTTACAGGGGAAAAGCAGCTGAGGCAGTCACCCCTGGCTTGCAGCACCCTGGGAGATGGGGACCCAATGCAGCTGTGGGTGGTGGGGAGCACTGATGGATGCACCTGGCTGGGGGGGGGCTCCAGCCCTCCCACCTTGCCTTGCGCCCTTGTCCCCAAAGCTACCAGCGAGCAGAGTCAAAGGTAGGGCCAGGTGTTTTATTGCTTCAGGTGGAGGGTACAATGCCCAGGATGTGTGGCTTGGGGCAGGGACAATGCCAGGAATGTCTTGGGGGGGAGGGGGACAAGGAATGACGCCTGGGATGTCTGGCTTGGCAGAGACAATGCTGGGGACGTTTGGCTCAGCAGGACCAATGCCAGGGACATTGATGGGTGAGACAATACAAGGGATGTTTAGCTCAGCAGGGACATTGCTAGGGATGCCTGGCTTGGCAGGGAAGACACCAGGGATGTTGATGGTGGGGACGGTACCAGGGACATCCAGCCAGGCAGGAAGGGTGGCTGTGTGCTGGGGGGTGGCTGGGGGGCTGGAGGTCAAAGGAAGAGCTTGTCGTGGCAGGCCTGGCAGTACATCTTGTCACCGCGCTCGCGGAAGGTGCCTTTCTGCAGCTGGCCCAGGCAGTAGGCACAGATGAAGTGCTCGGGGTGGTACTTGCGCCCCGCGGCTGTGATGCAGCGGCCAGTCACGGGGCGGCTGCGCCCTGCCGCTGGTGGAAGTGCAGCTCACAGTAGGGCCGACCCTCCAGCTCGAAGAAGGAGCCGATGGCGAAGCCACTCAGGCACTCCTGGGGGGAAGGAGACGGGGAAGGCTGGCACGGCCTCAGGGACACACTCACCCCTGCATCCCCGCAAGCTCGCCACCCACTCACCGCGCACACGAAGCACTCGGGGTGCCAGACGCCCTGCAGGGCCGACAGGTAATTGTCCGTCACCGGACGCTCACAGCCCTGGCATTTCGGGGCAAACATGGCCAGGAAGTCCTGGCGGCAGTACGGCTTCCCGCTCCGCTCATGGAAGCCTGCAGGGAGAGTGTTGGGATGGGCACCCACCTGCGGGGAGGCTTGCAGTGGGGGGCAGCGGGGCATGGCCATGGGGGTGCCCAGGATAGGAGACGAGGCAGGCAAGGGAAAGACTATGGGGGGATGTCGGATGAGGCAATGGGTCCAAGGGCTGGGCTATGGGGGGGATACCCAGGGTGGGGGCAGTGGGGGCAGGACCCCCACATTTGTCGCTGGGACATACCATCATCTCCAAACACCTTCCCGCAGTGGGCACAGAAGAAGTGCTCGGGGTGCCAGGTCTGGTCCAGGGCCGTGAGGACTTTCTGCAGGAAGAGGCAAGGTAAGGCAGCCGGTGGCGGGGGGGGGGGGGAGGCCAGGGGGGCTTACCTCACGGATGGGGCTGGCACAGTAGGCGCAGCGGGGGGAGAAGGCCTGGTGGTAGTCCTCCTCGCAGTATGCCCGCCCGCCCCGCTCAAAGAAGGGCTGGCCGCCCAGCTCCTGCCCACAGCAGGCGCAGGTGAAGTGCTCAGGGTGCCAGGTTTTGCCCAGGGCCGTGAGCACCTGCGAGAAGGCGGGGGGGCAGTGAGAGCAGCTCCAGGGGATGCCGTGAGCCGAGGGGAGAGGGGTGCCAGGATGGAGGCACAGGGGCTCACCTTGCCGGCGATGGGCTTGCGGCAGGCGGTGCAGATGCCAGTGGGGGCAGCTGTGATGCCCAACTCCTGCAGGTCCCGGGTGAGGCTGCCCAGCATGTTGTCCAGCGAGGGCTCTGCTGGCACCCCAGCTCCCTGCCTTGCAGCCGCTCGCTTC